CCCCAGCGAGGCGGCCCGGCCCGGCCCGGCCCGTCTGGCGGCCCTGGCCGTGTGGCCCTGCCAGTCGGCAGGCATCGACGCGCCCCAGTGAGCGGTGTGCCCCATTCATGGGCCCACCTGTATCTTGCTATCTCGCTGGCGCCACGCCTTGGCCGCCGTGGCCGCCATGGCCTGCCCGTCGCCACGACACGCACGCGCCACGCCCCCGCTGGCCTCGCGCCCCGCCCCGCCCGCCCCGCGGTGGGGCCCTTGCGACAACACTGTAGTGGTGTGCTCATTAGCAAGCCAGCGGCAGAATAATTGCCCACCCCGCCCCGGCCCGCCCTACCCCTCCCCGCCCCTGCGTCACGACGCCCGATTTGAGATTACCGGGCGACGTCGCCACGTCCGTCGCCGCGGACTCGCCGGACTTGCCTGCTTGGTTGACGAAGGACGCCCGCCGGGAACGCGTGTGGCGGTACTTCTCCTCCAAGATGGTGTTGCACGTGGAGCAGTTGAGCGTGCAGTGCGGGCGCCGCAGTTCCAGCAGCGGGCTGAGCGCGCCCCGCGGGGACGGCGACTCGCCGCCAGACCATCGTCGCGCCGCCCAGCCCCCCGTCGGCGGCACGTCCAGACAGTGCACGCCGCCGACGCCGCCGCTGGGGGTCACAGACCGCGACCGCTCCTCCCACCAGGACGTGCCCAGGCCCCACGCGCCGCGCCCGTCGCCCAGCGAGGACGTGGACGACGTGGATGACTTCCGCTGCCGAGGGTCGCCGTCGGCGCCGGGGTCGCGGGGCGAAGCGTCGCCGTCTGGCTCCGGCTTGTCGGCCACGTCCGCCGGCGGCAGTGTCACCGTCACCTGCGTCACGGCCTTGACATCCTGCGCGTCGTCGTCCTGCACCTCGATGACGGTCTTGAGCACTTGGTCTGGCGGCTGCACCCCCGCCGGCACCCCCGCCTGGCTGTGCTGCTCCATGGCCTGGTCCTCGTCGGCGTGCTCGGCGTGCTCGGGTCGCTCGGCGCTCATCCCCGGTCCATGACGTGCCGGTGCGGTCTTCGCCGTGGGCTGTGGCGCCGTGCTGGCCTCGCTTCGCTCCCACTCCGTTCCGTCCGGGCTGGGCGCTCAGCGCGCACTGTGCCCCGCCGCGGGGCAACCCAACCCCGCATGCCACCCCGAGTCCTGCGCTGGGGGCTGGCTGGCCGTGCTGGAGGGGCGCTACGCCAGCTACGCCGGCGCCGGGGTTGGGTTGGGCCGCGTGGCGTGGCGGCGCGGCCAGGGGGCCAGCTGACGAGCCTATTGCCGATGACACCCTCGTCCCCTTGGCCCGCGTCCTCGCAGTGCCGGGCCTTGCCGGGCTGGGCCGGCCGCCCTGCCGCCCTGCTCCACCGGTTCACTCAATGATCAATCACTCGCGCCCACCCGTGCCGGCCAGGCGGCCAGGCGCGGCTCACGCGAGATCCCCGCGGCAGCCACCCTCGGCCTGACCGCGAAGCCTGCCGCCGAACCAGCGTCCCACCCGAAGGGGGAAAAGACGAAGCCCAACGGGGAACGGAACGGAAGGGAGCGGAACGCTGCGGTCGGGAAAGCAACTGGTGCAGAACGGCTGGACGCGAAGCTAACGCAGTGCCGCGCAGTGGCCCGCCTGCAGGGCAGTGGGGCGCCTCGACTGCGACGCGAACCCTCAACCCTTCCTCCCAATACCATCAGCGGGCTGCAGCGGGCCGGCGGACACATAAACAGGCCGCTAAAAATATGAAAATAACCGAAATAAAAAAAAAGGAAAGCTGACACGGTGCGACATGGACTGATGAGTTGGGCAAACACAGCTCACGGCAATTCGATCCGGCCACCGGGCGCGGGGGCGGCAGGCAGGGCAAGGCGGAGGCGCCTCTGTCCACAATCCTCGCCCTCACTGCGGAAAAAAAAGAATATCCCTGGGCAGCGGAAAAAAGCGGGAGGCGGGTCAGGCGCCGAGGCGGGCAGGGCAGAAAGGACCCAATCGAGGGGCTACTCACTCGTTGTTTTCTCGTACCGTACACAGAATACGAATATGCGCGAATACTTAACTGGAGGAATGTTTTCATACTAAGATTACCAACTAGACCTGCACTGATTATCTCCAGTTGTTTACCACCCGTTTGGGTGCACGGACTTTTTTTGGGTGACTACCCCCAGGCCGAATGGGCAAAAGCGTGTCGGGGGATGCCACGGCGGTGCCTCCCTGAGTCCCCCACACTCGGACACTCGGACACCGGGGACCCGGAACGACAGGCAGGTGCACGAGGCCCTGGTCCTGGCCGGCCTGGCCCATCCCAGGCCGCGCTCCCGCTGCAGCTTTCGTTTCGTTTTATCGCCAGCTGCAGTCGGTCCCCGCCTCTGTTCCCGTTCCCCTCGCGCTCCGCAAAGTGGCCCCCAGTTCCACCCGGTTCCGGCGGACAAGCCAAGCCGAGCCGAGCGGGGGCAGCGTGGGGGAGTGCGTGGCGTGGCCCGGGACCGCGCGCCCGCCCGAGGGGCTGCCCTGGGGCTGCCGGGCAGAGGCGTAAGTGACCCCTTTCCTCTGTGTGTCAAAGTGTGGCTGCTGGGCCAGCAGACCGACTCCGAGGGGCCGTTTCGTCGCTGTCTCTGTCGCGTGCTGACGGGGTGCGGGTGCGAGCGAGACAGAGCGACGGCAGACTACTCGGAGCCGGCGTCCGTGGCGTCGTCGGAGGGCAGGGCAAACACGGCGACTCCCACGGACAACAACAGCCCGCAGAGGGCCGCCTTTGTCGCCGCCGTCTCCCTCGCACCCGTACGGCACGCCCCATGGGTGCGAGCGAGACGGAACGCCGAAAGCGGTCTTCGGCGGCACGGCAGCCCCCAGGGCGAGCCCCAGGGGCCGCGCGCCACTTGTCCTCGTCCAGATTGCCACCACCAGCGTTGCGGGTGTTTGCGGGCTGCTGCAGCGCACCGCGAGACCGCGCCGCGGAAAGAAAACTTGAAAAATTCAAACCGGGCTTGCCTTCTGTTGTTGTTTGTTTTTGTTCTCAGCGCGCCGTCTTGTCGTGGGGACATGTGTACCCTGGCAAAGCGGCCCCGGCCAGAAGAAGGCCGTGCCACTGAGCCTCGCCACGTCACACGCGGCGGGCGAGGGGGGAGGGGGGCCACGGGGGCGAGGAGCAGACCGGCAAACAACCGCACTACCCCGCATCCAGAGAGAGCACCCACCAGCAGTCAAAGGCAGCTCGGGGCGAAGCGCGAAGAGGGGCACTGAGGGCCGCGCGCGGGGGCGGGGGGGGCGGGGGGGGGGGCGGGGCGGGGCGGGGCGGGGCGCGGCGGGGCGGGGCGGGGTGGGGCGCGGCGGGGAAGACATTTCGCGACGGCGCCAAAGTGGACTTGTGACATGTGCGGTCCGCTTTACGGCGCTGGGCAAGCCCTGGCAAGGCCCCCCTCTCCTCCTCCTCGAGGCCGTTAAGCAGATTACTCGGCCAGTGCGGCCGGCCGGTCCTCAATAAGTTACGTCCCGTCGTGTCCTTGCGGGACGCACCTTGTCGTTCATCTTGGTCGGCGAGTCCGTCAGGAGGGACATCGGCGACGTCGGGGATCGCGGGCAGGACGCGAAGGGGTCGGGAAGGGAGGCAAGGGTGAGGCAGGGACACCGCAGTGGGCCAGAAGAGCGGCGCCGGCGGCCAAAACTCTAAACGCGTTTCGAGCTCCAGACTCGCTAAACAGGACTCGAACCGAACGTGTGACCCCATCAATGGATTCCTCGTTCGAAGAGCAATCCATTGGCGGGGGCCACGCGTTCGATTCGAGTCCTATTAAGCGACTCAGAGGAGCTCAAAACAACTCCAGGACTTTGGCCGCCTCCACCGGTCCTCCGGCCCACTGTGGACACGGCGAGGAGGCGGAAGGAGGAGACGCGAAGGAAAGCAAGGATTGGGAAGACGGACGCGACAGGATGGGCGTGCCTCGGCGTGCCTTCATGTGCGAAAGGGCGCCCCTTGCAGTGCCGGCGCGGGGCTGCTTCCGCTCCACCCCACCCCCTGGATTTCTCTAATAACCCGCACAACCCTTCCTGGAGGACCCCGAGGACCCCTCCGGCGAGCTCATAGCAAGAACAGCCGTCACGCGGCGCGGCACGGCGTGGCGGCCGTAGGCTTGACGCCCCCTTCCCCGGCGACGCGCGCGTGCTTTCCCCGCTCCGTTACTAACGGCGCAGTCGTCTCGTTTTCGGGGATTTAGGACCGCGCCAACGACGCGACACGCAACGGCCTGCCCGTCCAGGCCAGTCCAGGTGGACGGTGTAGTGGAGGAGGGCGAACGAGAATCAGCTCGCCGCGCTCCCTCCGGCAGCATCCTTCCCCCTCCACCCCCTTTCCTCCCCTTCCCGCGCTGCGGCCGGACGGACCGGCCAGGTGTTCCGCGGGGACCCCTTCCGCGCCGACCGCACGCCGAGCGGGAGCGCGGCAGCGCGTTGCCTGGCCGCACCATCCAATTCAAAACCACATCGCCTCCATTAAGAAACATCGTCGCCCGGCTAGCTCAGTCGGTAGAGCATGGGACTCTTAATCCCAGGGTCGTGGGTTCGAGCCCCACGTTGGGCGTTTCTTTTGTAGTTGAGAAAGTCATCGACGACGGGATTTTGTAGGGTTTCTCACATAAAATGCGCATTGCTGGCTGGATTGATAGCTTGTTTATCTGTTTTTCTTCTTGATTAATATTCATTCATTCATTCATTCATTCATTCATTCATTCATTCATTCATTCATTCATTCATTCATTCATTATTCATTCGTTCTTCATTCATTCATTCATTCATTCATTCATTCATTCATTCGTTCATTCATTCATTCATTCATTCATTCATTTTCTGGAATTCCTAAGTTCAAGTTATTTATTTTATTCATTTGATGTCATCACAAGAGTCACTGAATGGTTCGCGGAGGAATAATGCACGAAGCTGTCTGTGGCCGTGTCCTCCGTGTCACTCTGTGAGCTCCTGGACATCCCATTCCGAATCCGTCGATTCTCGACTCACCGTACGGCGACATGTCCGGGTCCTGGATGCCGGACCACGGCCCCTCCCTGGTGACGATCTCGTGGACGATGATGGCGAACGAGAACACGTCCCCCTTCTGCGTGCCGTCCGAGCAGCGCGTCCGGGCCCATCCGGAGTAGCTCCGGCGCCGTCCACAGTTTCCCTGCGACACCCCACGCCGCCAGGCCGTCAGCTAGAGTCTCTGGGCGCGCGGGGTAGCGCTGCCCGCGAGGGTCGCAGCGCTACCCCGCGGCGCGGCGCGTGGAGTAGTTCCAGCGGCAAAGTACTCACGCCTCCAGTACGCGTGCGAGTCCTCCTCCTCCCGGCACACCTCCCGCAACCGGTGGATGCCGAAGTCGGTGATCTTGAGCACGAAGCGGCTGTCCACCACGCAGTTGGACGACTTGAGGTTGCCGTGGGACTTGACCTCGCTGCTGTGCAGGTACGACATGCCCTGCGCGGAGACAAGCGTTAGTTCCCTCTCTCATTCCCGCAGCCCTCGCTACTCGGGGCCTCCAGCGCTCCAGCACACAGACTCGTCCCGGGACGCACCTTGATGATGTCGTGCATGAGGCTGTAGCGGAACATGGAGTCCAGCTTGAATTGGTCGTTCTCCAGGATGTCCTGCAGAGAGCCCTTGGGGCAGTACTCGATGAGCACGCACGGCATGGGCGGGTCCAGGCACGCGCCGTAGAAGCGCGCCAGGTGGTCGTGGTGGATGTCTTTTAACTGGGGACAGACAGGAGGAGACCAAAGTTAAGGCTGGCGGCGCGTGCCGCTGCGTGACGCTGCAGCGCGCGCCGGGTTGCCGAGGCCCCGGTCGGTGGGCGCTCGCCGCGCGCCGGCGGCGAGACGACCCCGCGCGGGGCCTGGCGGGGCCTGCCCCGGCCAGCCAGCCAGCCAGCCGCAGGCGGCCCGCTGCGGCTTGCCGATGCCTCTCCCCGGGGAGGAAACTCAACTGCATCCAGTCATTCGGGCAATCGGCGTAGTCGCGTATGTCACTTCAAGTAAACCTAGCCGTGCAAAATATATTGCACGGTCATCATCTTCATTTTGTCGAGGGAGAAAATAAGCAGAAGAAAAAAAGACGAGTTCGTTTTGATTTTCTCTTACTGACCCTCTTCAGTTCGAGGAGGAGTGTTCTGCTGAGCTCCACCTTGTCGGCGATCGCCTTGACGGCCACCTTGGAGCCCTTGTACATGGCGGTGGGCACGAAGACCTGACGGTTGCCCTCGAACAGGCTGACGCCGTCCTCGGAATACAGAGTCTGAAACAAGCAAACAAGCGTGTCGGGAGGAGAGAAGACTTCCAAACCAAAGCAGTCCGAAGCACGGCGAGGCATCTACTAATTAATTAACTGTCCCAAAGCGACTTACGACTTGGCTGCCTCGCCTGTTCATGCCCATCTTGTTGTAGGACTTGTTCGGGAACTTAATATCACAGGCACAAACTCTCCATGTCATGGACGCGATTTCAGCCTCTAGCTTGTAATGTCTGCAACCGAAAGAGAGGAAAGAAAACATGGTGAGTCGGAGGAAGATGAATAAAGAGGGTTCAGGAAAGGCGCGCGCGAACATACGGGACACTCGCACCCCCCCCCCCCCTCCTCCACAATCTTTTCATACTCTAGGGCCGCCGGCCTGTGCCACTGCCTGCAGGACAAAGGGAATGCGAAAGGGCTCGACAAAGACGGAGAGAGAGAGGGAGAGAGAGAGAGGGACGGAGAGAGAGGAGGCGTAAGGACAGAGTGCGGGCGGAACCAGGAAGGGAGGGGACGGAAAATCGATACGGACTGCTCCGGGCCCAACTCGTCCCCACCAAGGACTCAGTCGCTGCCGGCGCCCGCTCCGAGACGCACCGCTCAGAGGAAACACTTTAACTATTTTCGAAAACTTTAAAAAATGCACCCCAATTGCATGGATTTAGGATCTTCTCGAGATAGAGTCCGCTTGATAACGCTGCCCGCCGTGGTGCGTCATAGTACAGCACCACCATGACACCTGGCGCAGGCGTGGCGCAGGCGTGGCGCAGGGCAGGCCGGAGGAGGGGGACTTATTCAGATGTAGGGCCATCCGAAGGACCTCGCGGCGAGGTGTGCAAATGGAATGGCCCACGCGGCCCAGGCTCGTGGAGCCTACTCCGCCCCCCTCCCCGGCCGTCCGTCCCCGCCTTCCTCGCACTAATCTTGACGTATGTTAATCACACAGCCGGAATACAGGCCGCCAGCCTCTTTGCTGAGTGTGTTTTCTGGTGGTGCAAGCCGCGCAAGCTCCGCAGAGCCCGCTTGTTTGCCCCCGAGGTCTTGGCCGTAACGTGTGGACGAGCCAAGGCCTTGTGCAAACGCCAGGCGGAGCAGCGCCACGTTAGGGGCTGTCCGGCGGGGCCAGGTCCCAGGCCAGGTCCCTGGCCGCCTCAAACTCCTGCACTCCGGCCGACTCCAGGCGGACTCCAGGCGGACTCGACACTACGGAGCCACAGCCGCCGGGCTGGTTTTCCCCGTTTCGCCGTCACGGCGGCCACCCCTACCCACCCCTTGCCCGCCCGCGCTGCCCGCCTCGCCAGGGATTTACGCAGGCAAGTGCTCATGCAAAAGCCGCGCGAAATGAGCGCGGACTGGCGTGCGCCGGCGTGCGTGCGGACAGACAGGCAGGCAGGCAGGCAGACAGGCGGGCCGCGGCGACCTGGCGGGCAAACCCAGCCCGTGCTCCAGTGTTCCCCCTGACTCACCCCCTCGAGTCCTACAGTGCCTGGTCCGCCATGGCGGCCCGGCCGGCCCTGGCGACGGCCCCACTTAAGCCGCCATCGGCCGGCGTCCCTGGAACATTCATGAGGATCAGGGAGGTGACACAAGGCCAGCACTGGGCCAGCACCGGGCCAGCACCGGGCCAGCACCGGGCCAGCACCGGGCCAGCACGGGGCCAGCTTGGTCGCCAAATCGGCTGAGCATGATCGCCTGGCAGTCCTGACACTTGGCCTGCTTCCTCAGCACCACCACCGCGGGGGTCAGTGGGCCGTGCAGAGCCGTGTTGCCCTGCTGTAGGTCGGAGAGTGCTCCCCTGTCCCCTCGCCGAGCTCGCCGACGCCGAGGACCGAACCTGGCGGAACCCGGCCGAATCGGCCTTGCAGCAGTGCGGTGTGGGATGGGGCAGGTCAAGTGCAAAGAAGGAAATGGGCGACGCGATAAGACAGAGCCTACACTGGCAGTGCTGGCAGCGCGAGGCGCCGCGTGCGTGCACTGTCAGGGAGGGAGAAGCGTCGCCTTTGTCACCTTCCGATCCGACGTGCGGACAAAGCGGCGGAAATGGAGCCGACAGTCGGCATCGCTCGCAGCCTCGCACGTCTCATTCTCAACGGACAGTCCGCGCAGAAAAAATAACAGGAAAAATGACACAAACGTCCAGGTCCAGTGGCTGGGCCGCCGCGCCGCCGCCCCGCCGCGCATACGCTGGAAGACACATCTCGGGGGTGGCCGCGGCGCGCGGCGCCGGGCCGGGGCCGGAACCACCGCCGGGGGAGGGAGCGGGGTGCGCGGTGCGCGACACGGCCGCCAGAGCGCGCCACGGCCACAGTGGCGGAGTGGCGGAGTACGAGAAGGCCTCGGCTGGCATGCGCAGTGCTACGCAGTGCAGGCCCAGCCTGGCCAAGCAAGGCAAGCAAGGCTCCGGCCTGCCCGCAGTGCCCGCTCTGCCAGACGACACCGGACCAGCGGCGCGACCGGACCGGGCGAGTCGAGGCCGACGCGGGGCGCAGAGAGGCCCACAAGTGCAGCGAGTACTACACGGCCATGTGCGCGGTACGCGGCGGCGCGTGGTGACGACGAGGGCCACCATGAGGCCGACTAGTGCGTCGAGTACTCGGTCGAGTGTGCGAGGCAGGCCGCGCGGCGTCATGGATTACGTGGATTACGTGCACCGCCGAAGACCCTGTCCCTGCCGTCGCCGCTGAAGCAGCCCAAGCACGTCCAGCGCCACCTCGGTCGCGCTAGGCCGCACCACCACCGGGGGCCCCGCAGGGGGTCAGGCGCACTCGTCGCCAAGCGAATGTAAGCAGCGACTCCCCGCTAATCTTCTTTCTCTCTCTAACGTTCCGCCGACTAAATGTCCGGACGTTCCCCGTGGGACGTTCACGCGGCCGGACCGGGCTGACTCCGGTCCCGTCGGCCTCGGCACACATCCATTCATCTTCCTCTGTGTGGGGGCTATTTATTTAATACAGGCAGACGCTGCCAGCCCAACCTGTTTAGATCACATGCGCTGAGTTACAGCTTTCTTTTGTGGAGCATCAGCTGTTCGTTTACTCCCCTACGCGCGTCACCGCGGCCTCCTCCCCCTCCCCTCCCCCTCCCCTCCTCCGGCGGGCCGGCCCCGCCTGCCCCGCCAGCTCCCCCCTCGACAGATGTTCGGAAGGTACCTCGTGCGGTACGCGCGGCGCTCGCGGTGCGGTACCCGTCAGCCCAACCGCCACACTGCAGCTGCCGCCCCAGGCCGCCCCCAGGCCCCCCCCATTGGAGGAAGGCCACAGTTTGAATACCGGTGGCGCTAAGGCGATCCGCTCGTGAAGCAAGCGGCAGCGTGGACCAGACCAGAAATACCGCGTCGACATGCAGAAAAAAATTATTTGGAAAAGGAGATAGTATCGCAATCTTGTTGTCTTTTTTCTTTTTTTTTTTTTTTTTTTTTTTTTTTTTAGAAATTTTGACAAGATTTTTTTTTGAAATGTAGCTTTAAGCCGTTCTCTCAAGATTTAACCTACAATACTTAAAAAAATACCCGAAAAAATATACTTCAAAACATAATAACCATTACGAGTCGTATCTTCGGCAGTGTACCTTCACGCCTGGATTGGCAAGGGGTTCAAGTTATCACGCGACGAGGCTTGGACCACGGTCCTGCGGCCACGCCGAGCCTTCTCTCTCTCTCTCTCTCTCTCTCTCTCTCTCTCTCTCTCTCTCTCTCTCTCTCTCTCTCTCTCTCTCTCCTCTCTCTCTCGCTCCGCAAGGAAGGGAAAGCCACGTGACATGCAGCGCTCCGCGGCGCGCAACGGTCGGCGCGATTCCTAGGGGTGAACAAACCCTGAGCCGCACCCTGCACGCTGCGCCGCGCCGAGCGCACCAGACAGCGCGGTACACGCGAAAAAATGGGACGCCGGATCGGATTCACACACGCGTGATTCAGCCGGCCTTGCAGACCGGCAAACAAGCGCCAACAGCCAGGCTGCCTCCGCGCACTGCTCCAGTCGCGCTGTCTCTCTCGCACTCATGGGGCGTCCCGTGCGGGTGCGAGGGAGACAGACACAAAAGCAGTGCTCGCGGAATCAGCCTGCCGGCCTTCGGCTCGCGGGAAGCTGAATGCGCGGCAGCCGGTGGTTGGGACCACGCCGACTGCGACACTGTTCTCTGCATAGTGTGGGCAGTCTCACTGCACCGTCCCGCGGAGCGGCGGCGACAGGTCCGCGACAGGCCGTCACCTTGGCAACTTTTAAAAGGCTCAGCGATACGCGTCGTACGCTCCTCGCTGTAGTGCCGCGAGGGGGACGGGACGCCGTCCAGCCGCCAGGCGAGGGGAGGGGAGGGGGCGGCGCGCACGTGCCTGCTCTAAAGCAGATGTGTGGTTTCGGAGGGGAGGGGCGGGCGTGGGCGGGGTGCGGGATTGAATTGAGGTAGGAAGCGGGGAGGGGGACGGGGAGGGGAGTGATTCCCACCGGCATCCTCACGTACGCGATGTCCTGCGTCCTGCCCCGTCCTGCCTGGGCCATCCTGGGAAGACGGGCGCTAACGGATTGCCACTCGAAAGGCGGACACGCGTGAGGGAGCTTATTCACAAGTACTTGACGTTAGTAGCTAAATCTGGAGCACAAAAAAGACCCCGATTTGCCGTCGAGCGAGCCAGGGAGAAAGAGAGAGACAGAGAGAGTGTGCGCGGCGGGGCGAGGGACGGCACCGCCGCTCTCACAGAAACACCTTACAAAGGGCCCGCACCCTCGTCACCTTTTCAACACCCAATAACTACACTGTGTTGTTGCTCATTGTCGCACGCACCGCCACACACACACACAGACACACTCACGACGACGAGGAGGGGGTGTACCTGCGCAGGGGAGGGTGCCGTCGGGGAGCTGGCTGGCGGACGTAACCCCATCAGCGTCATCGGGGCGGCGCCGCGCGGCTCCTGGACAAAAAGGTCCCGGACAGGGATCTGGAGATGGTACTGCTACTGTACACGGCCGAACACGGCGGGCCACGGCTATCGCCGGCCTTATTGCGCGCGTCAGGGTCTCGACCAATCGATGGGCAGCTCGGCACGGCGTGCCACGGCCTGCCACGCACTGCCACGGCGTGCCACGGCGTGCCACGCACTGCCACGCGCCCCAGTTCATTTGCCGTTTGGCGGTGGGTCACATTCGCTCGCATTCGGCCGTCCTGGAAGCCCTGGAAGCCCTGGAGCCGCACTTAGCACGCCGCCGCGCAGTTTCATCACTCACTGCGCCGGACGGGCGGCGTTGCCTTGCGCTGCGAGCGGCGTGCCATGCGGCATTGTGCACGCCGCCAGCACCGCCAGGCCCCAATCACTCTCCGGTTCACTCTCTTGTTTCGCCGCCATGAAAAGCCAGATACAAAGATACGGCACAGCCACCAGCCCCAACGTCGTGGAGCCTGGCGCGCCAGCCGCACCAGCCCCGTGCGAGGACTCGAACCCGCGTCCCACGGGACCCTTGGTACCCAGCCCGCCTCCTTCCAACTCGTTTCAACTCCACAGACATGACCAGTTTTCTTCGCCGAGGCCGCGCCGGCAGTGCTGCCAGCCAACCCTCCCCGGCCGACCCTCGCGGGGGGTCATCGGGTGGAAGGAGTGAGTCGGGGAGGAGGGAGAGGGAGGGAGAGGGAGGGAGGGTGAGGGAGGGACGGGGAGGAAGGGAGGGACGAGGGGAGAGAGGGCCGCGGAGCTGCGAGGGGAGCGGCTAAGTGCTGAGCGCGGCCACAGCGTCTCGAAACGCCACGGCGGCGTTGGGATTCGAACCGGGCCGGGTACACGCTGCTCTGCGCTGCGCGCCGAGCGTGGCGGCCCGGCGTGGCGTGGCGGCCCGGTCGGTCCAGAGGGAGGGAGACACCCGCGGCGCCCCGCCCGCCACGCCGCCGTCTCACAGCTGAGCTTGGTCGAACTATCGATTCAATTTGCGATCCATACCGTAGTCAGCTGTTCGCACATAAACACACAATGCCGGCTCGCTCGCTCTCGGCCCCTCTCGCTCTCTCGCTCTGGCACTCTCGCTCGCTGGGTCCATGGAGCGGCCTCCATGGAGCGGCCTTCGTTGCCTCTTATGGGGTACCGCCATGGACCGGCTGAATCAGACTGACTCTTTGATCGAGCGGGGATGGGGTGGGGGAAGGTCGCCCGGCGGCTCAGCTGATCCACGGCGCGTACTATCGGTGCGTAGCGTGCGCCGATGCCTCGGAGCCGGGGTTCGAATCCCACCGGCGCCTTGGCGTTTTTTTTCGTCCGCGCGGCTCGCTAGCGCATCCTGGCGGCTGGCGGGGCCCTGCTTGTTCACTTTGCCGGGCTGGCAGCGCCGCACGGTGCTTAGTGCTTCTAGAGGCCGTGCCGTGGCATGCCCCGCGCCACTAGGGCCTAGCAGCAGCAGTAGCATTGTCTCCGTGAAGCAAATGCTTGCTGGCTGCCGGGCTGGCGGGGCTGGCAGGCCGGGGACGCGGGCTGGGGACGCGAGGCAGGGAGGACTGGGCCGTGCCATGCTGCCTCGCTCACCCCATGCGCCGTATCGATTTTCTGGCGCCCCTCCACGCCACCCTCTGACGCCACCCCCGCCCGAGCGCCACCCCGCTCCACCCGCCCCACCCCCGCGACCGGCGTGGCGCGGCACGCCACGGCCGTGGCACGGCACGGCGCTGCACGGCGTCCCCCACCTGCTACACCCTCGCCGCGCCGCATCGCGCTACACCCTCCCTGCTACACCCTCTCGACCTAATTCAACATTCCGCAAAGCCGGACATTTTGCCCAAGACGAGCCAAAACGCCGACCGCCAGCCAGTATTTGAACTCTGAACCCCATGTCTGCGGAGACGAGCAAAGCCGCCGGCCAACCTTTCAGATTTCCAGTCGAGCGCGCGGCGAACACACATATACTCGGTTTGGGTCCAATCTAACGCATTTGGTGTGCTTGCAGGTGATGGGGCTGATGGCTACTGCTGACGGACACACGGACGTCATGTCGCCGTCGGTTCGGTCCGCGGGGGCGCACCGCGGCCTGGCGGGGGGCCTGGGTGGCCCGCTAGGGGGCCACGACCTCAAGGATGAGGAGGACGACGAGGGCTCAGCGGGGGAGGAGGACCAGCTCGACGCCGACCTGGACCACCACCACGGCCACCCGGGCCACCAGGGCCACCTCCACCACAAGCAGGAGTGCCTGTCCGTGATCGTGCCGCCGCCCGACGACAATGACTCGGACTCGCAGTTCCTGAGCCCGGCCTCCCAGTCGCCGGGCTCGGACAACCTCCTGGACACGGAGCCCACGTACCAGACGCTCACGTCCATCAACTTGTCGCCGTCGCGGTACAGCCCGACGTCGTCGTCCTACGCGACGCTCACGCCGCTGCAGCCGCTGCCACCCATCTCCACCATCTCGGCGGACAAGTTCGCGGCGTACGGGTCCTTCACGGTCCTGGGCTCTCCCTACGGCTACGACAAGATGTCCTCGCTGAGCATGTCGCCGCCGCACCACTACGCCTCGTCGCCCGGCCACGACCTCGTCTCCATCGAGATCCCCCACGAGGTGGACGACAACGGCCCGCTGACGCCGCAGAGCGGCTACAGCCAGGGCCACAACGGGCTGGCCTCGCCGACGAACTCGCTGTCGCCCTCCAACTACGACACGGTGGACTACGCCGTGGACAACACGACCCTCAGCCAGGACACCAACGTGATCGTGTACGGCGGGGCGCCCTCGCTGCAGCCCGCCCTGCAGCCCGCGCTGCAGGTGGCCACCATCAACGGCGTCACGTCGCTGTCGTCGCACGACGGGCTGGTGGTGGTCAGCTCGGCGCCCACGCTGCTGCCCATGCAGAGCGTGCCGGTGCAGACCGTGCAGACCGTGTCGCAGCCCACGACCGTGGTGGTGCGCCACGTGCCCGCGCTGACCACGCCGGCGCCGGCGCCCGTCACCACCATCGTGTCGCCGCCGGCCGCCGCGGTCAGCCCGGGCAGCAGCAGCGCGTCGGGCGGGGCGCTGTCGCCGATGCCGCCCGACATGGAGGAGATCAACACCAAGGACCTGGCGCAGCGCATCTCGGCCGAGCTCAAGCGCTACTCCATCCCGCAGGCCATCTTCGCGCAGCGCGTGCTGTGCCGGTCGCAGGGCACGCTCAGCGACCTGCTGCGCAACCCCAAGCCCTGGTCCAAGCTCAAGTCGGGCCGCGAGACGTTCCGCCGCATGTGGAAGTGGCTGCAGGAGCCCGAGCTGCAGCGCATGTCGGCGCTGCGCCTCGCCGCCGCCCAGGTGCCGCAGCAGAAGCCGTCGCGGCGCCGGCCCGGCGAGGACGCCGACAGCGACTCCGAGTCGTCCGGCACCGTGCACAAGAAGCCCCGCCTCGTCTTCACCGACCTGCAGAGGCGCACCCTGCAGGCCATCTTCAAGGAGACCAAGAGGCCGTCCAAGGAGATGCAGGTAAGCGCGCCTGGCCAACCGCACCGACCTTTTGGCATTCGAATCTCTTGTTCTAACCACGGCTTCTCCTTGCCCAGGTGACGATCGCGCGGCAGCTGGGGCTCGAACCCACGACCGTGGGCAACTTCTTCATGAACGCGCGGCGCCGCTCCATGGACAAGTGGCGGGAGGACATCGACGAGGACCAGCCGCAGTCCATGCACACGCTGCACCACCACTTGGACCACGACGACGGCTCCAACATTGACTCGGTGCTCTCGGACGGTGGCTCGCTAAGCGGCCTGCAGTCCGACCTGCACCCGGACCTTCACGACGACCTCCAGCAGGACTTGTGACCAGACGCCGGCTACTCCGAAGAGCAGCACCTGGTGTTCATGTGAGCGCTTGTGGTTGTTGGTGGATGGGCAGGGGGCAGGGGACGGGGGTGGGGATTGTGGGCCCCACCGGTCTCGTCCTCTCTGTGTGTCTGTCGTGTCTTGGAGTAGCAGGGTTGCCCCGTGCCAACCCCCCGTGTGCGAGAGTGAGCGTGTGTGCGTGCATGTGCGTGTGTGCCTGTATGTGAAGAGTATTGGTTAGGACGTCTTCTAACGTAGTCAAGGCGAGGACGCCCTCTGTTTCTCCTCTTTTTTTGCCGCGTTCCTCGTCACTCAACGAGTTTCTAGTCACAATTAGGACTGATGTTTCGAACCAATCTGGTCAAAAAAGCTGTGTTTCCCGACTTACGGGCGCGTCTTATTATTATTTAAGTTTGAAGAAGTAGGGTATTGAGTTTTCTTTATTGGAAAGCCTTGTTAGTGTGTTGTGACCTTCTCTGCAATATACACTTTGCAATCACTTTGTGCGCATTGTCTAGTTTATTTTGTTGAGTCATTTCCTGATTTCTAGGAGAGTGAACTGATCTAGTCCAGATAATTTCTAATCCAAATCGCTAAACAGAGTATAGTAAAGGAAAATTTTTATCAAGGAACTTTACATTCCTAGGTGAATTATTTTTAAAATAGGAAAATGCAAGTAGACAATAAATATGTGAGACGGTGAGATTGGAGCAAGTGTAATTGACTAGCTATCTTTGCTAGAAGACTATCCTGCTGGAGAAATGTGACAGATAAAAGCTCAGCCTGCACGTTGTCAGTGGGACAAACTTTGTAAGAATAGAATTTCTGTACTTGATAGTTTTGTTAATGACGACTCGAACGTCTTTGGTTAAGCCATTTTTATAGAGGCGGACTTTTCTCTACTTAAAGTAGAAGTACTGATGCCACTGACTTAGTCTATCGTGCTGATATCTGACACAATAAGAGAAAGTTTAGAAGAATAGATGAATTGGAGACATTGTTGAGGCAGAGAGATAGAGTGGCAGCTTATGCCCCTGAGTACGCGTGTCCTCCAAGACGCACTTACGCTTCTTAAGTATATCTTTTGATAAAGTCATTTTCGCTGGAGCGCTTATAGGGCTGGGAATGACAATAGCAACTTAAGTCTTGCTGAAGTTATACTTTACGTAATTTTTTGAATCCTATCGCAATCAAGTGCCCTTCCCAAATGATACTTAAATTCATATCAACTAATCATAATAGAAAAATTCCTTGTGTAGACATGTCACTTCTGATTTAATTAAGAGGACCCCATTATCGCGAAAAAGAGCTTAGCTTCTCTCTCTCTCCGGTGTGGAGGCCTGTATCTTTAATTACTTGCTTTCTAGCCGAATACTCATTTGTGTGACTTAGCATTATTCTGTTCACGTGTGTAATAAGAGACACAGGCACACCACATTCGATTTGATAGTCAGCAATATAGTCAGAACAGAGTGTTATGTTGGTTGACTTTTTTAGAGTAACTCATTTTCGTACCAATCTTGTATTGACCTGTTGTGTACATACTGTTTTATGTGATCAAAGTGAGTTCATTTTCTTAAGATTCCACTTAGATCTTTACCATTCCACAGTGTTTATGTATTTGTGTACGTAATTTATTATATTATTTATTTATTTATACCATAGGTGTACTTGTTTTTGTTTGAAGTTGTCTATCACGCATTCTGAAATAGAGTCTGAAAGGTATTTATTTGTATTCGTTTGCCGCAATGCTTTGGTTGAACATTGTTGTTAAACGCCCCCCTGGGCGGCATTTAAAAAGTATTGTTTTGAGTGTACATAGACTTTCAAACTCTAGTGTTAATGCGGGTGTATGAATTATAGCGAGATGGTACACAGAGGCCATTCACACGGACTGTTACGCACATGTGCAATATTTATCTAGTCAAAACGTGTGACATTGTGTGAATATACGCCAGACCAGCGAAGCGTATGACTTTGTGATTTTAAGGCTAACCACCGAGATTGCATGTAAGATGCGCCGCTTCAAAATCCTACAATCGCATATGGATGCAAAGAGGCAGTTGTTACTTTAAAAAACAAACGCTCGCTATGATTCAGCACTACTTGTTATAAACTGATGCTGTCTTTAGCAATAACACAAATTAAACCTCTGCGATATTTAAAAATGGAAACTTTGATTTAACCTGAAGAAATGAGTCCATAAATTAATGGATGTATCTTACAGCCCAGTATTGACCCACGACTGAAATTAACTTTTCAGCAAATCGCACATATGATTAATTTTTATCAAACAAAGTGCCGTATCTTTTCTAATTAGCGAAATGATCGCGCTCGCCTTCCCTCGGCGTGTTTCACCGTTTGAAGAGTATTTCCTGGCAGAAGTCCAGCTTAGACTACTTTGTTGATTTGACCTCAGGAAAAAAATAAAAAAATGTTCACGAAACTCAACGCTTTTATTTCCTTGATACACACAGCGAGGAGCCCCTCCACTGCTGCCCGGCCCCGAGACATGAAAGGCAGCCCCGTTCAATTCACTCGGCTTTCAAGCGCGGCGCTTTCAGACTTTCCCAACAGTGTAGCGGGGAGTCGCGACGTAGCGAGGGGTGGGTGCGAGGTAAACAGCGCGTTGCTATCCTCCGGGCGGCGGGCGACGCGTTCCGAGGTCTCATTCCCCGCAGTGTAGTGTGCCGCGCTCGACGCGACATAAGCGAGGAAAAAGGCCGCGAGAAGAAAACGCCATTTGGGAGGGGTGGAGGCCGGCTAAGGCACTGGGGGAGCGAGGGGCAACCTGCCTCCAGGCCTAATTAGAACCGAGATCAACAGCCCGGCGAAACGCCGCGAAACGCCGCGAAACGCAGCGAAACACGGAGCCGAGGGCGGAAACAATGAGAGAGCACGCCGAGTTTTCCCCTCGAGAAGGAAAGACGGCAAACGCAACTCAGGATGCGGAAGACGGACGCTCCAAGTTCCAAAAGTTATTCTGGCCGCCCTCCCCCAGAGGGACCGCGTGCATTACTGGGTATCGCAGCCACCCTCCCCTGTGGCGGCGCGCGGGGTATCGCAGCCACCCTGCCCTCTGGCGGCGCGCGGGGTATCGCAGCCACCCTCCCCTCTGGCGGCGCGCGGGGTATCGCAGCCACCCTCCTGCGCCCAGCGCGCGGGGTATCGCTGTCACGCACCCTTCCAATGCGCGGAGTATAGCGGCTCCGGTCACCCTCCCTCCCCTCGACACGTGGGGTCTCTGTAAAGGACGTCCCCGCATTAGAGTCTCTCGCGCAGGGGCTACCGCCACGCTAGGGGCTGGCGAGCGTGGAGGGGAAGGAAATCATCATAATTCAAAACGAGCTAGCATGTGACAGAACGTGCGTGACAATTGTGCTGTAAGTGCTAGACTGAGAGAGACAAAACATTGCACAGCTCGGCACACTGCATACATATTTCGTGCCGCCTCGCCTTGGAGCACGCAGGCGCCTCGCGTCCACACACGTCGTGTAAATAATATGAAGTGTACATAATGTAGGAGGAAAGTGCTCCAGGCCACGTTCCAAGTGATAGTACAATTATGGATCGACGACGAAACAACTAAGTTTGTGTCTCCTTCGAAATTCGCCGATTGGAGAGCGAAAAGGCGCCAACAACTACCACAACACATTTCAGGTACTCATTCAGGGCCACTTCGGCACTCCGCCGCGCCGAGTCAGCCACGCCACTGCTTCCAATCATTGACGAGGAGCATAAAACCAACGGGCAGAACGGCCGTGGCGCCGCAGCCGCCCAGGATCCAGACAAGTAAACCATAAAACGCGCGGCCAGCCCGCCGAGCAGCGCGCACGTCGCCGCGACGCAGCCACGGCCGAGGGGCCAGGACGCCGCGCTCTGCCCCTGAGGTCAGCGGTTCAAATCCGGGCCTACAAATTTCCTTACTCCGCTCTCGGCGCTACGCGAAGAATGCTAGGGAGCGCTTCGCACTGCACAGTGAAAAACAAAGAGGGTTGTGTCACTAGGCCGCGGGGCATCAGGGATATTAGGAAGGCGCCGATGGCACTGCTTCGCACACTTTGGACAAAAAGGGACCGAGAGAAACAGAGAACGGGCAATACGAACAAAATGGCAAGATGGAATAGGGTGGTGAAAAGACGTCCGACCACTCGCTACAACTGTATTGATCGGGCCGCCGCGAAAATCAGGTGCCAAGAAGCTAAATGGAATTACAGGCTGTCCCAAACGAAATGATTTCCCGACCGGACTTGGTCTCTTTTCTGCCTGCCGCCGCGTCGCCGCGATGACAGGTTCAGTGCGAAGCAGGGGCAGGCGCGGCAGGCCCTCGGGGCCCCGGGCACACACTGCGCGAAAACGGGGGCGGCAGGGCGGCAACAAGGCTCGAGTTACAGGCAGGCCGGGGATGAGGTGAGCGATGTTAGTCTGGAGTGATAGAGGTTCGCTCGCCCACGCCCAGTCCGAGTCGGGCCCGTCCGCGCGCCCGAAAGGAGGTCAAGAAGGCGGCCGACGGGGCGGCCGGGGCGGACGGGGCGGCCGACGGCGCGGCAGAGGGCGCGCATTCTGTCGCCGTCAAGGCAGTGGCCGGCGTCCCGCAGTCACGCGATCTCCAGGCGGCGGCCCACGTACCTGAATATGAAGAAGGACGCCACGGCCAGTACCACCACCACGGAGCTCAGCACCATGCTGAGGATGGCGTACCCCGGCAGCGCTGCAACAACAACAACAACAAACATTGAGCGACAACAGGGGTGGCGACGGCCCGGCAACAACAACAACAACACTGACCGTTATCGGGGCACAGGCTGCCGTCGAAGCCGCACAGGGGCGTGTCGGCGGGGGGCGTGGTGCGGCCGCCCGACCAGTGTATCTGCCTGTCCTCCACGTACTCCAGCTTGTGCTTGCCGCCGATGTAGTTGGCCACGATCTGCGGGGACGACAACAAACAGCGCCACAGTTTGAAAAATAAACAGCAGAAAATGGAATTAATAAGCAAACAAAAACAAGGAGGGCCTGCGGTGGGCTGAGCCTCCCGCTGGCTGCGCTGGCCCGGAAGCAGAGAGGAGAAGCACACCGGTCTGTTGCCGAGTGTGTCAATTAACTCCCCCCCCTTCCCCCTCCCACCGGCCGCAGCCACCGGGATTGGCGGATACACGCATCCGCAGCGAACCCCGCCGCAAACCCCGCCAGCCTACCTTGAACTCCCCCGTCTCGGGGTCCATGTCGAGCAGCGAGTAGTCGGCGATCCTGTCGCCGTTGGAGTCCATCTTGACGTCCCCGGAGATTCCTGCAACAGCGCGGCAAGGCTTTCTTGGGACACGTGACGCCGTGGCGCGACAGTGTACTGTAGTGGCGTACGGAGCGTCGGCAGCAGCGTCGGTGCGAGGGCGGGCCTTGACAGGCCGTGCTGCCCCTGGCTGCCCCGCACACGCCTCGGCGCGACAAACGCGTTCCCCGAAGTCAGAAGCCCGACAGGAGGAGGCGGAGGAGGAGGAGATTGCCGATCAACGAAGAGAGAAAAAAATTAATGGGAAAAGCAGCCCTGCTGGCGGAAAAGCAGAGGTTGTACACGTCGCTCTCATTCATTACAAACATCCCTCGAGTCGGAAGGAACATTAATTCAGCGTGTTTGCCTCATCGGCGAGTTTGTCTTGCAGCGCGACCTCGCCCCGCCCCGCCCCGCCCCACCCCGCCCCGCCGTGCCCCGGCACACCGAAGCAGCTTGCCCCCAAAATAATGAGGCGTACAAACTTTTGAGAGTGGCGCGCCGGTCCGCCTGGCTGCATGCTCCACGGCGATGGCGATGACGATGGCGATGACGGCCACGCGGAGCAGGCGGAGCGAGCCGCGCAATAAAAACATTGTTCCGCGGGGATTCGAACCCACGCGCCACGTTCGGTCGGAAAGTCTGCCCAGTCCGCTTCGCTGTCCGCTTGGCGAGTTTGCCGCGGCGGCGGCGCGGCGTAAACGACTCATAAGCGGAGCGCGTCGCTTTGCGTCGCTGCGCGTTGCGGCCGAGTGCGTGGACGGTCCTTAAAGCGGGACGGTCGAGAATAAAGGGCGTTCATGGGCGCCCCCAAGGCAGCGGACCCCTGCAGGGCCCTGCAGCGGCCTGGACGGCGGGAAGGGCACCGAGACGAGGGCCTTCTGCTGCTGCTTTGGCGCGTCCAATTGCACCGAGCGACTCGGGGCGGCCAGGGTCAGGGGCGGCAGGCGATAAAAACAAATTCGTGCATATTTTTTGAGGCTGGCCGGAGATGGCGCTGTAGGCCCGCCCCGCCCCGCCTTGCGCCCTGCTTGCGCCGCGCCCACTCGGCACGAGGATAATAGAAAAGAGGTTTCACTGAGATGCGCCGCAGCCGCCGCCGCTGGCCAAGTTTCGCGTAGTTAGGCAGCGGGGGCGGCGCGGCCCCGGCCGAGGTCCCCGACGACGACCACCACGACGACGACTCGCTCGCTACGCTTCGCCGAAGCAGCATCGGTCACCCCGCCCCCTCCCTCCCCAAGGCGGGAGTAACACTATTGCCAATCCGCTCTACAAAAGTTTTGGCCTCTCTCCGGCGGCCCTCTGGCCGCCATCAAACGCCTGCTGCTGGCTTTGGGGGGCGGGGCGGGGCGGGGCGGGGCGGGGCGGGCATGGAGTGCCGGAAGTACGCCACATTCCGGGCGGCTCTTTTCCGGCCTCGCACGGCCGGTTGTAGTACGGCATAACGAAGCCAGCCTCGGCCGCTCCTTCTCCAGGTCCACTCCACCCACTTCCAGCCTTCCAGACCCTCCTCCAGAGGGCTCCTCGTCGAGGCTGCGCCACTGGAGTGTAGCAAAACGGGAAAGAAATACGGCGATGGAGTCTCGGGGCGATGATGCCATTACGAAGGCAAACAACGCGCGATAATGAACCGGGGCTCGAACTCGGGCCGTCCGCGCCGCCGGCCGCGTCGGAGGGCGCTCGGCTGCCTGGACTCACCGTTGAAAGTGCGGTTCCACATGCGCTCCGTGATGGCCTTGCCGTCGTGCGGGTCGCCGCCCTGCTCCACCGTCTCGTTGAGCGCCAGCGCGTACAGCAGCACCGCGTCGTAGAAGGCCGAGACGAAGGCCGACACGGGGGCGGGCCCGAACGTGTAGTTGTACTTCTCGCGCGCCACCTCCTTCACCTGCAACATGCACGAACAGGCAAACAGTGTAGGCGAACGAGTGGCCGGGGCGGCCAGCCAGGCGACAAATGGCGGTAAAGGCAGGTAAAGGCAAGCGGTGTCACCGCCGAGGTGGCTGGCCGGAACGCCAGCACCGCCAGCAAGCCCTTTGATTGATGCCTCGACACACCGCGACGTCCCCGGCGGCGCCTCACCGGGCCGGGGCTGGGACCGAGCGCCCCAGGCAGGGCCACAGGCAGGGCCACAGGCAGGGCCACCGCCAGCGGGTTGATTCCGAGAGTCGTCTCCGTCGCTCTGTCTCTCTCGCACCAATACGCGACGCGCCATGAGTGCGAGAGGGACAGAGCGACGAAAACGACTCTCGGAATCAGTCTGCAGCATAATACGAGTCGATAAATAACCCAGGCGGGGCGGTCGGGGACCAGTGGACCAGTGGTCAGGGGCCCCTCACCTGCCCAGTCTCCTTTGCATCAAGGGGGGATAACGGGGGGGGGAATCAAGAGAGGGGGCGCTGGAGGATCAGGGCGGAGGTCGAGTGGTACAATCCAACTCCCTGGTATGTGTCCACTCCAAGGGTGGTTGGTCCCCACACGACGGGAGGGTCCAGCTCGCTCCAAGGCCCAGAGCCCCGAAAGGCGGGGGCGGAAGGGCAAAAGAGAGGGCATGAAGCACTGCAGCGACACATTGATTAATGCTGGCGGAGTCATTACCTGATTCCCCGCCTTATCGAGGGGCTCGCATCAGCAGCCTCCACACTCCACGGTCGGCCGTGCTGTGCTCGGGACCGGACTTGGGACTCGGCTTAGCACGGCTCGCGGCGCCACCTCACCAACGAGGCACTCGGCACGCAAAGGCAGGGCAGCCGCCAAAATAAAGGGACGCGCCGAAAGAGATCGGTCCCATCGGCCTGGTTATTTCGATCCATGCAACTGGGCCGAGCCGCAGAACGTTCAGGGAGTCGGGGATGACGCCCTTAAATAGACCATACAGGGGCTGACGTGGCCGGAGACAGACAGACAAAGCGCCTCTCGCAGCACAGCGATGGCATTTCTCTGCATTTTACGGCGTTCCGGCCGAGTTAGCGAGCGACCCTCAGCATGGCGCGGCGCACCGCGTGGCGCAAAGGATTCACAGGGCAAGTGGCCTGTGTGCCGGGAGCGGCGCCCGAATCCCGGCACAGTAGACCGTCATAAACTGCATTAGACGCCGGCCACACTGCAGAAGGCAGGGCTGACGAACGGGACACTTCCAATAAGTTGCCCGCCCTCCCTGGCCGCGCGCGGGGCCCCGCTGCCAAGACAGGCCCTGCGTCACAGTAAGGCCGGTCAGAGGTAAGTTGGACTGCGAATCTGATAACGCCGTCCGACCCTTGCAGAAAGGCAAGATGTGACGACGGTGCCCCAATAAGTTTGGCCCGCCTCCGCTGGAACGGGGCGGGGCGGGGCGTGGCTTATTTGTGGACACAGCAGGGGGCTAAAACAGCCGAGTCCCCATCCAGATTTACAAAGTTAGACGGCCTCACGCCGGCCCCGGCCTCCAAGGTGCGGCCATGCAACAGCATTAAAGGTTATACTCCCGTCGGTCGAGGCCGGCCTGGCGGCCTGGCCTCCTGGCCCGAAGGCTGGCCTGGCCACCGCCCAAGAGCACTAACAGGGTTATTAACTACAGCCTGTTTGTCCCTGCCGGCCTGGCCGGCCTGCCGGGTCAGATCGGGCTGGCTCCTCGCCCACGGCTGCGGCTTCGCTAGCGCTTGCTGGCCTCCACTGGCCTCCGCCGGACTCACCTCGTTGGAGAAGTTCCGGTAGGACTCGTTGTCCGGCGTCCTGGCGGTGACGGTGAGCAGCGCCGAGTAGGCCTTCCTGGCGCGGGCGTTGCGCTCGTCCGTGTCGCCCTCCGCGTGCCACGGCTTGAAGCGGTTGCGGTCCATGCTGCGGGCAAAACACCAAGTTGAAGAAACAAAAGACTAGCCTAGCCGAATCCGCGAAGCGAGGCGGGGCACTGCGACCATGTCACAGAGGACTAGGCAAACCCTTAACGCGCGTCGCGAACTACATCGTGGAAGGCAACGGCACTGCTCGGAAGAAAGCTCACTGCGAGGCTCACTGCCGCGTGGGCGGGGCGGCCGAAGACGCCTCCAGGAAGTTGATTGATAATTAGGGCCGAGTGGAAGGCAAGCGAATGAATATTTACATTCGGCGCCACAATTTGGCGTAACGAGTGCGAGGCGCGGCGTGGGCGGAGGAGGGAGGGGAGGGGGGATGTTGGTTCATCTGGACCGAGTTTCAAGTAACCGCAGCAAGTGTTGCCAATTCCGGCGACACTCGAGCAGCCAAAGTTCACCGAGTTGTCGCTCCGCTTTTGCAAACTTATTGGGCCGCGCCCGCCGCCCCCGCCAGACGTGGCCGACGGCCCGGCCTGCTTCGCTGCTTCGGCCGGCCGGGGCGGGGCGGGGCGGGGCGGGGGAGGTCACCGCGCCTATTATCACCAGGACGCCGTCAAGGGGAAGCAATGTTCGTATTTATAGTTTGAGGCCGCCGCCGCCGGTCGTCGCCATCGTGGTCGTCGTGGTCCTGCGAACTGGGGCGACGCGACACCCGTCTGGCACTTGGATGTGGGTGCCCCGCCGTCACCGCTACCGCCACCCACGTACTACCAGGAGCACTGGACACATTCCAAGTCCCCCACCCCCGCGCCCGCCCCTCCGGACATGTGCACATGCACGCGGACAATCAATGCTGCTTTCTGGCGGCTCGCTCGCGTCCCGCATCCAAATCCCCTCATTGCGCGGTGGCGCACCGCCCTGTCAAGTTGTCATTCAAAACGACCCGCCCTCCGGACCAACGACGCCGATAATCAGGAACCAGCATCCCCCCCGGCCGACCGGACGGCGGTGACAATGCGGCGGAACGCCGAACGCGGACCGGAAACGAAATCCGGCGGCGGAAAGGAAGGGCGGCACACACACGCACACGCACACACACACGCACGCGCGCGCGCGCGCGCACACACACACACACACACACACACACACACCACACACACGAGAGCAGCCAGCAAAGCAGACGGAGCGCTCCTGCCACGCAGCGCTGCGCAACGGGTTGCCTATCCTTCCGACCACAGGCGCTCCGCGCCGCAGTCTGAAAAGCGCCGGCAGGGCGATACTCGAAAAACAAAAAAAACGAAAACAGAAACCGAACCGAAACAAAAACGCGGCGGACTGAACCTGCTTGGGGCGGTCCGGGGGAGAATAAGAAGTACTTGTGCCGACGCAAGCAGCAAGCAGCGCGAAGCAGCGCGCGGAAGACTGACTCGAAGAGTTTTGCCTCGCAGTGCGAGGGAGACAGAGCGACCAAAGCGACTCTCGGAAGCAGCCTCAGCGACCGGCACGGCTCGGCCGGTGCGGCGAGGGACTCGAAGCTCTGCAGTCCGGCCGGCCGGACGGCAGGACCTCGTGCATAATGATGACAAGCACGTCGGCCCTTTTAATCCGCCGCCAGCCACCGCCACCGCGCCGCCGCCGCCCTTCCCGGCACCGCTGTGTTCTCCGACTGTCCGCCCGGCCGGCCGTCGGACACAATAAGGTCAGGGGGCGTGCGCACAGTGTACGCGCAGTGCACACACAGGCCGCACACAAGCCACACCGACACAACAAACAGGCGAAAACATTATTACAACAAAACAGCTGCTCGCTCACAAAAGTGCGCTGCCCTTCACATTTTAGTGACGGCGCTGCAGGCGGCGGCGGGCCACGCGTGCTGCCCGCGGCGTGGGGGTACTAAGCTCGCGGTTCCCGCCGCGGCCGATCCCTTTCCCTCGAGTCTACGCTCCGCGCGGTGGGCTAGAAAACCGGTAGGGGCGGACGAAATTCTAGACGCGTTTCGAGCTACAGAGTCGCTAAATGGGACTCGAACCCACCGTGTGACCCCACCAATGGATTGCTCTCCGAACGAGGAATCCATTGGTGGGGTCACACGTCCGGTCCGCGTCCTGTTAAGTGACTCTGGAGCTCGAAACGCGTCCGGAGTTTCGACCGCCTCCGCCCACTGTGCTGTGCGGTCTGCACTCTCAGGGAATACACTCCCCGAGCTGGAGCCCGAGGTAACGAGCAAGGCCTTCACGGCCAGCGCGAGCGGTGCAGTCAAGTGACCGCCGAGAAGGACAAGGAGGGCAAGGTCGTCTCGGAGTCGTCTCGGAGCGAGCGAGCTCGAGAGGCGAGTCGGCGGCCTTGCGAGTCCGAGAAAAGGAGGAGCGGAGCGCCACGCAAATGTCATCATCTGGAGCCGAGCGTCGGAAAGCATCCTCGGCTTTCTCCCGTCGTTGTTTGGTGTTCAGGCCAAACGCAGGAACGGTCTTGCAAACGGGTCCGGTATTCCGCACAAAAATCAAAGGATCCACGCCATTTTTTTTCGGGGGTGGGTGACGGGGGAGGAGAAAGTTTTCATTCAACAATCCGCTTCGACCCATTCCCTCTCGATTTTCGAGTCTTTCTCGCTGAGCTGAGCCGAGTCTCGGCTCGGGTCCCTGGCCCCTCGCGGTGCGTGGTGGAAACTGACCTGCTGAAGAGCTCGATGTTGAAGAAGACGTACTCGCCGCTGTCCACCATGTTGAGCTCCTCGGCCGCCAGCATGATCTCCCGGACGGTGCTGGGGTTGGCGCACACCACCACGACTGCAACAAAACCGCACAGCGTCAGCACAAAGGGGCGGCCCGGGACGGCCTGGCCGCGGCGCGTGCTCACTCACACAGACACACACAGACACACACACGCACACACACACATTTCAAGGGCCACAAGATACAGCTGCAAGAAATGAGTCATCAAGTTTGTCAATGGATGACCGCGAGCGCGTTGTCGTGGTCGTCGGCCGTCTGTCTCTGTCCCACACACCGCGTCCGCTGCAACAAAACAAGGCAAGGTGAGGCTCGCAACGAGAGAGAGAGAGAGAGAGAGAGAGAGAGAGAGAGAGAGAGAGAGAGAGAGAGAGAGAGAGAGAGAGACAGACAGACAGACAGACAGACAGACAGACAGACAGACAGACAGAAAGGGGGGGGGATGAGATGATCCGTCCGGCCCGCCGCGGTGGAGCCTGCGAAGCCACCCGCAAACACGAAGACGGATCGGCAATCCCTGCCCAGGCCACCCAGCACACCGATTCCGAAAGTCGTTTTCGTCGCTCTGTCTCTCTCACTCCGAGACGGGACGACCCATGAGTGCGAGGGAGACGGAGCGACGAAAACGACTCTCGGAATGAGCCGGTAGGCTGTTGAGGCCTCGGCCGGCACGGCACGCACCGGCCGGCCGTGCTGTGTCCACCACCGTACCGAGGGGAGGGGGGGGGGAAGAAAAGAAACGGAAATCGGCGGACCGAGGGGCAGGCCCGGGCTAGAGCCCTGGACTGGCCGGCTGGATGTGCTTTTTGAAATTGCCAAATTGGATTAGCGGAGCGTGAGGATGCGGCCGAGTGGAGGGTTGGCAAGAACGAAGGAGGTTGGCACCGTCGACAGTGGGGTGGAAGCAGTAGTAGTACCCGAGTCAAGGGGGCCGCCGCTTGGGGGAGGGGGGCATACACACACCACACACACAGACCTTTTAAACGAAAGTCCATTATATTGTCAGAAGGGACGGCTGGCGGGGCGCGTATTGCCAAGGTGTGACGGCCAGCTTTTTTCGGCGCGCATGTGAAAACTTGTAAAATTGTTTGAAACCAAAATGTAAATCCGATTTGAACAGGCTGTCGAAGCCTCGCCCACGAACCTTGACGCCGCCGCGCAGCACGACAGGAGGGGCGCGGGAGGGGAGGGGGCCCCGCCACGCGTCAGCGCGCCGGCCGCGTCCGGTCGTCCGTGAACTTGATGGTTCGCTCGTGAGGCTTCGGGAGGAATTCACTTATTGCACTCTTCCCAGATATATTTCACTCAACATGGCGCCTCGCGTCGCCTCGCGTCGCCTCGCGCCTCGCGCGACAGCCGGTGATATTGAACCGTGCCGGGAAAGGGACGCGGCGAACGGCACGGCGCGCAGCGCAGCCCGGCATTCGTTTTGCACGAGTCAAAGAATGACCTCTTTTTCTTGTTCAGTTCAGCCGGGACCCTTGAGCCTCTAAAATCTCGCAGGCCTTTCGCTGATCTGCCTGCCACTTTTTCCTACAAAATGCCGCGGCCCGTGTTATTACAGCGCGCCCCCTCGGGGCCCAGGGCACCGCCAGGGCACTGCCAGGGCACTGCGCCCCACCCCCTCGGGGCCCGCGCCCCTTCCAGCCACTTAAGCCACTTATTTCAGTGTCTTAAAAGAGGGGAGCGGCAGCCCCCCGCCCCGCCCCGCCCGGCCCGCCCGGCCCGCCGCGCCGCGAGGTGTGAAATATGAGCACTAACCGCCTCATCACCGCCAGTCCCTTTGCACACATCCACTCGCGTAAGCCCGGCGCGTGCATTTTTCAGCCCACCTGCCCTCAGCCTCAGCAGCGGCGCGCCCGGGGGCCCTCCACCCAAAGCTTACAGCCCGCAGCCCAGCCCGCGGCCCGGAGCCCCACTGCCGGAAAGCGGGAGGCAAGGAGCAGGAGGCGCGACAACAACAGGGGAGGAAATAACAGCAGGGGGCCTCGAGACTGACAATGTTGACGGCGCGACAACCTGAGCCTGTCCGTGGTAGTGGCTCCCCGTGTCAACATTTACCCTCAACTTACGACCGCTTTTCAGGCCATCGTCGGTCCCTCTCTCTAGTTTGTGTGCTTTTTTCCCTCTCCTGTTTTTGGCCTCTTTCTCTCCAGTGACCGACCACTCGCCGGTCCGCCCGTGTCGCGTTTCACGCTGCCATGCGGATCCCCCTCGGATCCCCCGCGTTTGGCCGCTTTGCCCCGCCTCTGCCCGCGTGTGGGAGAGAGTCTGTCTGTCCGTCTGCTCGCTTCGCCCCGACTCTGCCCGCGTGTGGGAGAGAGTCTGTCTGTCTGTCCGTCTGCTCGCTTCGCCCCGACTCTGCCCGCGTGCGGGAGAGAGTCTGTCTGTCTGTCCGTCTGCTCGCTTCGCCCCGACTCTGCCCGCGTGTGGGAGAGAGTCTGTCTGTCTGTCCGTCTGCTCGCTTCGCCCCGACTCTGCCCGCGTGTGGGAGAGAGTCTGTCTGTCTGTCTGTCTGTCCGTCTGCTCGCTTCGCCCCGACTCTGCCCGCGTGTGGGAGAGAGTCTGTCTGTCTGTCCGTCTGCTCGCTTCGCCCCGACTCTGCCCGCGTGTGGGAGAGAGTCTGTCTGTCTGTCCGTCTGCTCGCTTCGCCCCGACTCTGCCCGCGTGTGGGAGAGAGTCTGTCTGTCTGTACGTCTGCCTGTCCGCCTGCTCGCTTCGCGGAAAAGCCTTTTCCGAAAAACAGGCGATGTCAAACAGGTAAATGCGTTATACGGCCTGGCAAAGTATCGCAGCGGCGCCAAAGTGAAAACGTGAAAACACAAAACGAAAAAGGAAGAACGAGGAATTTTTTAAATGCCTTGGGCGATGGAGAAAGAGTGAGAGAGCGACAAGGGGCCGCGCGGTCGGACCCATTCAGGGGAAAAGGGCAGTACATCACCAGGTGCCACGACAGAGTTGGGAATCTGCTATGCATTGAGAGCCGTGAACAAAGCGTACCGAGATATGATGAACCGATATGGTCGAGGGACGCGGCGCGGCCGGCCCGGCCCCGGGAGAGCTGCAGGCGAGGCCAGGCCGGCGGACTCCATTTAATCTTTCACCTCCAAAACGGCAGATAAAATGCCGTCCGTCCCAAAGTTTATCCATTAGAGCCCGAGGGGGGCTCCCGAGAGAAAGACGGCGGAGGGGGGCAGGGCTCGCACATTCACGGAAACAAGTTAATTTCAAGGGAGCCCGGTTTGAGGGACAGCAGAGCGATGCGTGCGCCACGCCGTCTCGGTCGCTGCACGCCACTGGGGGGAGAAAAAGGGGGGGGGGGTCTTGCCGCCACGACCACCTCAAAGGGAATGAGCAATGGGAATGACCCCCTCCACTCGTACCCTCCAGCCTCCCGCGCGCGCAAGTTCGAAACCTCGCGGCGTCGCTGCAAATTTCTTTTCCCCCTCCCTGCGAACGCGGCCCTCGGGTCGGCCTGGAAAAGTCGTGGCGGCGCGACGAGACCACTGTTCGGAAACGCCCCGCAGGTCAGTCGACGACAACGCGCCCGCGCGTTTATTCCAGGGCCCTGCCTCTGAGGCGGGGCGGGGCGGGGCGGGGCGGGGCGGGGCGGGGCGGGGCGCGCCAACATTTGAACGACACAACAAGGCAAGGCGAGGCGAGGCGGGTGCGCAGGGCCCTGCTGGCAGTACCGCTGCGCTGTGCACACTCGGGCGCATTAATCAGAGGCCGAGTGAGTTTGCCGAGGGCTTACAGTGCCGCACAACTTCACTGTCACCGCGAGGCTGGCGGGGGCGAGGGGGGGAAGGGGAAGGGGGCGTGAGCAAACACCTCCGTCAAAGCCAGTTATACCAATGGAAGCCGTTGGTACAGTACCGCACCACGGCGCCGCGCGGGCAGGGCGGGGCAGGGCGTGGGCGCGGCGGACAGACGCACGGGCACACCTCTTTAACTTGACCCGCTCGAACGTACCGGGAACGGGGACCGACGGGGCGACCGACGGGGACCGTGAGGCAAACGGTGGGCGAGCCGCGCGGGGAGGGGGCGGGCACGCCGGGCAGGGCTTTTAGCGCCACGCCGAAACCCGCGCCGACGAAAATGGACGCATGAATAAATGGCTAACTTGGCGATGAGACGGAAAAGTCGGCAAGCGTCATGGTTCCCAGCGGCGCCCTGCTCCTGGCCGCCGCCACGGCACTTCTGTCTGTCTTTCTGTCCGTCCGTCCGTGTGTCTGTCTGTCTGTCTGTCTGTCTGTCCTGCCTGTCTGTCTGTCTGTCTGTCCGTGCGTCTGTCTGTCGGTCGCTCTGGCCCTCGCTCTCGCTCTTTCTCGCTCACTCCCCCGCGAGGCACTCGAGTGAAAGGGCCCGCCGCACGCGGGAAGTGAAAGTCGGCCAAAGTGAAAGGAATTACGAAGGGGGAGCGGCATTGGCGGCGGGTGCGGCGGCGCACCAACTTTGTATCGCGGGCCGGAAGGGCATTAAAACGCGCCGTCCGTCTTGATCCGTTACTGCGTTACTGCGTTAGTGCGGCGCAACAAGTGCCATGCCCAGTGTGGCGGTGTGGCGGCGTGGCCCGGCATGGCCGCGCCGGCCGCGGTGCAACAGGTTTGTATAGTCTTTGTGCGGCTGCCCCGAGCTGCCCTGCGCTGCCCTGCGCTGCCCTCGAAGCACGGCTAATTATTAAACTGGCCGGGCCTCGCATCCCTCGCATTCAATCCGAGCCCCGGCCGCTCGGGGCCGCTCGGGGCCGCTCGGGGCCGCTCGGGGCCGCGCTACACGTGCGGCGCGCCGGGCACTGTAACTGGAACCCGACCCGACCCGACCCGCGGCCGCCGGCCTTGATTTGCACCAAATCACAACACAAACTGCCTGTCGGCCTGCCTGCCTGCCAGCCTGCCGGGCCCGCCGGCCTGAAGGGGAATGGGCCTGGCCTAGCCTCGGGGCGCAAATTAGCGACATTCATCTCCGTGCAGGAAACACGTAACACCACCAAGGCGGCCAAGGCCGCGAGGACGGTCGCCCTGCGCGCTGTCTGGCGGGCTGCCTACACTGTCGGC